AGAGAGCAACAAAGGGGCATGACAAAGTATTTTCACATATGTATGCATGACTACTCTTCGGGGAGTGTAGTCCTCGATCCTCGTGCCACCAATCACGCATATCCTTGCATGATGGCCGAGGAGTCGAATTGCACGACTCAATATAAAATGAATGCACATATAAACATAACAAGACCTAAACTCCATCATGGATAATCCGGAGTGTCGGTGACTGGGAATTGAGACACGTTCCGTCACTCGAAGTACGAAACGTTTCTCGTTTTTCGTGTTCGGGCTAACTCCTATCCCAAGCACAATGCAATATGCATGACGTGCATGAATGCAACTAATATACAACCTAGCATGTACAATGCTATGAGATGGCATACACAATGCACGATGTAACGAGGCATACACAATGCTCTAACATACAACCTAGCATACGCAATGCTATGAATCGAAATGGCATACTCAATGCATAATGGACTTACACCAACATGAGTGGACCTCAGCCACACTCACATTAGTAGCCATGAGATGAAAATGAGACACTCGAAATGCGTGCACACATGCACGCAAACCGAAGACCGATCCTAAGGCACAAATGCCAGTCTAATAAGGCATGGCAAGGCACGAAATATGGCATACAAACATGCAAGTTTCAGCACTGAAATGTGATGCAAAATGATCCCGAAACATGGAAACATGGCACCCGATGCATGGAATGGCCCCGAAGCACAAAACTAGGCATACGCATTGGCCTATAGCTATACAAAACATGCATTATTTTATCATGAAGCATGAAGAAAGATGCAAGACAGTCCCAAAACATGCATATTTCCAGTTTATGACAAGTCCTAAAAATAAACACAAATAGGGCTAATCTATCATGCAAAAATGGCCCTAAAAGAGAGATTAAACACAAAGGGACAGCAGCTGGCCCCAAATGGAAAATATCCCTTCAACAAAGTTGAAGAGGGGCTCAAAACAAGGCACTTTAAAGTTTACATCAAGCCACGAAAATAATCACAAATAAGGCCAAACTATCACGCAAGAAAAGGCCTAGAAGAGGGGTAAAGAGACAAGTGGTAGCTTCTGTTCTCAAACAGAGGAGAGCCCTTCAAAAATGTTGAAGAGAGGCTCAAAAAAAGATGTTTCACAGTTTATGTCAAGGTCCAAAACAGCTCACAAATAGGCCTAAAATACTATGCAAAAATTGGCCTAAAAGAGAGATAAAGAAGCAAGTGATACCAGGAGGCCTCAAACAGAGGAGAGACCTTCAACAATGTTTAAGAGGGGATCAAAAAAAGTTATTTTATAGTTTATGGCAAAGTCCAAAACAACTCAAAAATAGGCCTAAAATACTATGCAAAAATAAGGCCTAAAAGAGAGTTAAAGAAGCAAGTGATAGCTTCTGGCCTCAAACAGAGAAAGACCCTTAATCAAACATGAAAAGGAGCTCAAGATATGACTATTTACAGTTAGGGTTGGAGCCCAAAAATGCAAGAAACTAAGGCTTATAGATGAAGCAAGAAAAGACTAGAAAAGGGAAGAAAATGACTCAACTGTAGGAGGTCCTTGATCAAACATGAAAAGGAGCTGAAAATATGACTATTTACAGTTTGTGTCGGAGCCCAAAAAATCTTGCAAGTATGGCTTAGATAGCATGCAAAACAAGACAAAAAAAAAGGAAAAAAGGGACTCACCCTTGAAGCCTAGCCTCTGGAGATAGCCTTCAAGTTGCTGGAATGGAGGTGGAGGGGTGGTGCTATGGATTGGTGTAGAAATGGCCAAGAACCAAGGGTGTTTTGAGGGTTGGAATAGAGAGAGAGGGAGATTTAATGCAAGAGCTCCAAACCAATTTTTGTAACCCTCAGAAATAAAGGGGAGGGGCTGGTTATATAGAGGAGAGGCCAAGGGAAAAGGGGGGGGAAATGAAATTCAAATTTCCCCCCCAAAAGAGCCCCCCTCGGATACAGGATCTGAGGGGAAAAAGAGGGCATATCTGTAAGGAACCAGGTGAGGGGGTCATGGCCGGCCAGGTTTTGAGGGTTCAGGGGGCCGTCCGGCCACCCCCCATGGCCGGCCGACCAAGGGTCAAAAGGGTCAATGACAATTGTTGGTCGGCCACCTCATATTGGTGGCCTCCCATGTTTGCACAACACAACTATGTGGTTGAAACCCGGAGAATGTGAACCATGAGAGAGAAAAACCCATTTTTTAGAGGGGTTTAAAGGGTCAGGCACAATTACTGGTCGGCCACCAAATATTGGTGGCCTCCCAGGTGTGTACAACACAAATATGGGGTTTAGAGTTCAAGAAAATGGTCCCGGGGTGGTCAACATTGGCTTTTAAGTGAGGAAAACGGGCGTCGGAGGGCGATGAAGAAATAAAGCTGGATTTTCAGAACAATTGCTGGCCTCCCACCCTCCTACAAGCTTCCTAACTATGAAAATAAGGTCTCCACCAAAAATGAACCAAAATGGATGCAAAACGGAGGTTCGGGGACCGAAACGCGCGGCCTGTGGCCCCGAAAATGGGCTGTTAAGCACCGGAGGTGGCATTTGACCATGAAGTTGGTCTCTCGGGCCACAGTGTTCCTCAAAAAGGAGGAAATAAGGTGTATACCAAAAACCGGAGCAAACGGAGATGGTTAGGCGGTCCCAAACCAAGGCACACGGCCGTCGGCTCCGAAAAACCGGAAACCGGGCTCCAAACGGGAAAAATGGCCTACGACCACGAAACGTAGCCTACGGCCACTGAGAGATGATCTACGAGACCTCTCCCTCCCTTTGAGAAGAGAAAACAGAGAAAACAGAGTCTGGTTCGCAAACCGAGGCAAGGCACGAAAGAGTTCGGAAGTCCGGAGGCAAGGCTCGCAGCCGAGACTCTGAAACTTCTGAATGAGCACAGTATGCAATTTCACCAAGCGCTCAACTGATGACGTCTGAGTCTTAAAGTCGGTCAAAAATGGGGTGTCTACACAAGTGTAAAAATTGAGCTTTGAATTTTTTTCATCAATGTTATAACTGTGTTCATTTTTTTTTTCCTGAAACATTAGACAAAGAGGGATACGATTCAGAGGCTATTTGGACAAAGGGAGGGCATAATCATCAAAGCATCTGAAAAACAAATTAAAGCCACGACACACCATTAGGAAGGTGGTGGCATGTGGCCATTTGGCGGCGAATCTGAACACACATTTAATCTGTTTGGCAATCACCCTTCCCAATCGAACGAGTATGGACAATTCAGTGTCATTTATATCTATCCATTCTTATAGCCCATAAGTTAATATAAGAATGTCATTGTCACGTTATTTACTATCTTAAATTATGAGTATTGTTTTTTTCAATGGAAACTATTTTTTGTTAAAACAAACAGTGTGTAAATCATAATACAATCTTTATAAATTTCATAGTAATCGAATCCCATGTACTGAAACTGTCATTTTTATTAATTTGGTTATGTTGATGTAGGGATCGATGACAGCTCCATACTACAACTCAAGGGCCACAAAGATAGCTGTGGTGACTAATAGGGAAGGATACTTTGAGATGGCATGTCCTCACTTGTCCTCTTCGGAGTTTGGTGGCAGCGGCAGTAGCAGAGAAAGGCAAGAGGGCAGAGGATCGCACTAGCAGAAATGCAGGAGCAGTGGCCCAAGCTACCAGAAAATGAGCGGCCGCCTGAGCTGTGGTGTGATGTTTATCGTTCCCCCCGGTCACCTAGTCATCACCATCGCTTCCAAGAATCAAAATCTACAAATTGTCTGCATCGATGTCAATGCTCTGAACAATGAGAAATTCCCTCTTGCAGGTAATTAAAGTTTTTCTTGGGCTTTCTCACTAATTGATATTTCTTCTTTTATTAATGTTATGTACCTAAAAATAAATTGTATATGACGTGTGCTGAATTTAGTTTGCTTCTCTTCTTAATTTGAGCTAAAAACTACTTTGATTCCTCGTTTGGTGTTAATTGCGTGTTGAATTTGAAGAAATTGAGTTGGTTTTGCTATCCAATTCATGCTCTTCCAAAGCGTTCCTCGCAGAAGCTTTGAATTTCAGTATACTTTATCTCATTGTAGGTAGTTTCACTCTTTCTTCTTAATATGAGATGAAAGGCGCAAATTATTCGTATATAGTTAAGAATTTACTGGAACAGGTGCGGTTGAAATCAAGCGAGGAAATGCTTTCTGAGTTCCTTCGATCTGGCACTTTTTTGAACTTATTGAAACTTGAAAAGAAGTCCTGCTCTGCTGCCCTGTGTTAAGCAAAGTGAGTTGACTCCCATTCTTACCTCTAGCTACACTATATTCTTTCTATTGAGTAATTTGTTAAATTTTATGCTAAATTTTCTTCTGCTTTTGTCATTCTCTTTTAGTTACATAGTTGTTAATGCTTGATTTCACAAGCCTGTTGGCCACCTTTTTTGGTTTGAAGCTTTCCATTGTTTTTGTCAAATATTATCATTATATGTGGTTATTAGTTACTGATTGAATTGAACTGAAAGTGCAGGACATTTACAAAAATGATGTACCCCTGAGAAATTACAATGGGAATGTTGTTCTGATTGTGAATGTTGCTTCAAAATGGCAAGTGACTTTATATATCCTAGTTAGTCAAATCTATTATATTTACATGGTTAATTTGCCTTTTCTTCTTCTTTTTCTTATTCACTATTCTCTTTTGATAATCACTCATACTTTAACTTCTTTTTTTTTGTCCTTGCTGTTAATTACTTTGTTCGCTTCCTGAGAGCTGATGGTGCACAATTGATTTTTGGGCCATATTCTTCTTCTTTTATTTCCCTAGGAATATTTAGAGCTCTTTGGATTTATTCATAATGCTACTTCTTTCTTGAAACCTACTTAGTTGCTTGGCATATGACTTCTTGTTTATTGTTTGTTTGAGTTTACAAAGATAATATAGACTACAAAATACTTTTAATCATATTCAAGTTGTTCAATTCAAACTAACATAAGCTTTCCTCACCTTTTGTGGCTCCATTTGCAGTGGCTTAACACAATCAAACTACAAAGAATTGAACATTTTATATGAAAAATATAAAGATCAAGGTCTGTTAGTTATTCAACTCCAGTTATTTGCATGTTTCCTTTCTATAATTTCAAAGAGTTAGGGGTCTTAATCTTAGGAATCAACTAATGCAATGGAAAAGGTCCGAGGTATGCTTTTTATGCTTCCATGAATGTCTCATTTCAGCATCATTTGTTTCCTTAGCATGGTTGTCAATATTACTAAGCTATACTGATGGTTCACTACTGATGGAGAACAAAAAGGAGTTCGTTGAAAAAAATGGAAGATTAGAATTTTAGTTTATTTGTGAATTTTAATTTATTAATGAAGTCGAATTTGTTTAGGATTTTATTTTTAGTTTATATTTGTTTCCTTATTGGAATTTATTCGTTTGGTTTGCCTATATATTGCTTTGGATGAACTGTTACATCTAGAATTAAAAATTGTTTATGAAGATGCTGATAAAATTTTGAAATTAAAAATTCTTTTGCTGTGTTGTAGCATTCTGGTAATTGCTTTTTTGTACATGGATTTTTATGGAATGGACCAAATGAGGGGTTTTGGTTTTCCTTATTTGTTTTGAATTGTTGTGTTTTTTCAGTGCCACTGTTTTGTCAAAGTTGGGTACTCATGATCATGTCATTGGCAAGATGGAACCAAATTATTGGTGCTTGGATGGATGAGTTGGATGATGGTTTTATAAAGATGTACTTTGATGGTATTTTTTGTACGAATGATTGAGATAATTTTTATGCACTATTTCCCCATTTCCGTATAATGTTTTTATGGATGTGTTTGATTACAATATATTGAATATGTAAAAATTGTGATCTTGTGTCGTGCTATATTTCAAGTTGCGTTCTTTGTTAAATTGTTTGACCCTGTGGTGTGTTATGCAGAATCAGTCCCACACACCCACCCCAAAAAAAAATAAAAAAATAAAAGGTAGAAGGTGGCGTTTTTTAAAAAAACGCCACTAAATGACGTCATCATGATGTCAAACGTTATTTGTGACGGAATTGTAAGCGGCTGTCAAAGTTTTTGTGGCGTTTTAAAAAACGCCGCCTAATTTTTTAGCGACGTTTTCCAAACGTTGTAAAGCTATTGCAACGGCCGTATCAGCGACGAAAATATTGAACGTTGCTGTACTCTTTTATGGCGTTTTTCAGGATTTTACCGGCGTTTTTAAAACGCCGTTAAAACTCAAAATTCCTGTAGTGATAATAGTTGTTTTGATTGAAAATAAAGAGACTATTATAAATTATATATCTATCAAAATTTTATTAAAAATTTTAAATGTAACGGTAATGTCATTATTATTGACATGCAAGTAACGGTGATGCCATTATTATTTATCATTAATTAGTGATATCACATATTAATGATGACGTAATATTACTATTATATTGAATTTTTAATCAAATGTATAAAAAAATAATTTATCATTATATAATTTATTTTAAGATTTATATCTATATTTTTTTATATTGTCCATGATATATTAGTTATAAATAACATTAATTTTTTGATATTTCTCAAAATTAATTGTAAAAACTTGCGTGAAATATTTTTGTAAAATTTTTTGATATTATAATTAATAAGTGTCATTTCTAATTTAATTTTCTAACTCCGCCAATGCACTCACATCTTAGTCACATCAATCCGAACAAGTTTTTCTTTTTTCTTTTTTTTTGGTGGAACACTACTTTCTCTTATTAGCAATTTAAGCATGTAATGCCTCAAAGTTAAGGTCTCATAATATTGAATTTTTATACATAACAATGTGTGCAACCCAGAGTGGCGCAAGATGATTGTTTATTTAAAAAATAAATAATATCATTGACGCATCATTTTGATGAAATTTTCTACAATATTAGAGTTTTTCTCGAAATGTTTACACAATTTATTTATTTATTTATTTGGGGGAGGCAGGCAAACATCATAAGGATAGGCCAGCTGAGGTTACACAAACTTCATATTAAAGTATTTGCAACACATTAACCTAAAGAAAACTTGACATAAAACTTACTTGACTAAAATCTTAATTCCATTAGGTTCCATGTGGCACCAATATGTAATTCAGAATTTGCACATCAACAGTTAACAGACTTTGCATAATCAAGTCAACAACTTTTTCCTTGGTTGATATTGACCTCATCTCAAGATTTATAAATGGCATTACTGTACTTTTATATATTATCATTACAATTTTTATTTGATATTTTTTTATCTATTATCATTACATGACCTTTGTCTGTGGTTGTGTGACTATCACTATATGATTTCAATGTAACAAACTCATCTCTTGTTGCAGAGACATATTGTTTTATGTGGTTTAAGAAATGGAGTAATTTGTTTTCTGCATGTTCATGTCTGATGATGAGTTAACTGCTAAAATCTTTTAACACATGAGTTTTCCTATATTTAAGGGTACGGATAAAATGTTTGCATAACCCTGTTCCTTCTCCTGAGCATTGTTGTCCTGTAGTCATAGTTCATATTCAGCTATCTTAAGATATTTGGTCCATTTTTTCCACGAGAATTGATTATTCAATCAAAGTGGTTGTTTTTTTTCCTATTGAAGCAGGAGATGAAGAGTCAGTATGATGAGAAAAAGTCCGACGGTATCTTTTGTAAAACTAGAATAGTCTCTATAAATAGTTAGTTTATTCATATGCTTTTGCGGTTTTTGAATTAATTTGTGTTTTTATTTTTCAGGTTAGAAATTTCTTAGAGAGATGCAAAATATGGTCAAAGAATTAAATAACTTAGTTTTTTTTTAAGTTTTTTCATTTTTTAATATATGTAAGCACAGTTAAATTTCTTTTATTTAATTCCTTTGTATATACTTTTGAACATTTAATTTTCATTTATGAAATATATGACGTTATTCCATTCAATATGTGGTTATGATTCAAAGTATAGTATATAATGTGTAATACATTTTTCAAAATGTGCATACAAAAATAATATTGATTATTTTTCAAATATGTTGAACCCTTTTTTTTATCACAGATTTTATTAGTTATTAATCACACTTAAAAGATGTGATGTAAATGTTATTAATCACACTTAAAATGTGTGATCTAAATATTTTTATTCACACTTAAAATGTGTGATCTAAATGTTATTAATCACACTTAAAACATGTGATCTAAATATTTTTAATCACACTTAAAAGGTGTGGTCTAAATATTTTTAATCACACTTAAAAAGTGTGGTCTAAATATTTTTAATCACACTTAAAAGATGTGATCTAAATATTTTTAATCACACTTAAAAGGTGCGATCTAAATGTTATTAAGCACACTTAAAAAGTGTGATTAAAAATGACCCATTTTAATCACACCTCAAAGATCACACTTTAATAAAACTTAAAAGGTGTGATTAAATAACATACATCACATAAAAAAAAGTGTGATCTTTATCTATTTTATGACTAAACCATCTCAATCTATTCTCTCTCGAGTTATCTTCTATTCGTACTGCTTCTATCAACTATTGAATATACTCATTCCTAACTCTGTCTTTTCTAATCTTGTCATACATCCACATTAGCATTCTTATCGCAGCAACACTCATCTTCTATACATGTTGTTTCTTAATTGCTTAATATTCTGTCTTGTACAATATCGCTGGTCTAATAGTTATTTTATAAAACTTTACTTTTAATCTAGTGGGTACTCATTTATCGTATAGTACCCCAGACGCACTCATCCACTTAAGTCACCCGCCTTAATTCTATTGATCGCATCCGTTCCAAACAGTTGTGATAATCAATTATAAATAATAAGAATATTCACTCTTAAGTAATTTTTGGTGTTACTTGAATACTTATATATAATAAATTTAGTTAAATTGTTTGTTTATTTTAATAATTTTAGTTCTATTGTGCTTTACAAGTGTAATTATCATCTAATAACTTTATATGATATGTATTAAATTATAAGATAGTAAAATAAACGATTGTTTTGATATTAAACATAATAGTTAAATTGGAAGGAGAACGACATTTAGAAGTGATTCTAATTATTTAATTTTTTTATGGTCATTTGGAAAATAAGAACATGTAGAAATATAAACTATATAAAACTTATTTTAAAAATTAAAATATAAATATGTTATAATTGAATTATAGCAAAATGTAGTTATTATGTCAAAAAGTTCTAAAACTTCATTCCTAAATTATCATAATTTTGAAAGGGAAAAAAAAATTACATGACACATCCTTTTTATCTCTCTTCTCACTTTTGAGGTTTTTTCACTCCCTCTCCATATATAAAATAAAAAAAATTTCATCCATATCCATGACTTTGAATCCACTCAACAAACCTACAAATATCACATATCACCTCTCCCACTCTATCACGTTATTTAAAAAAAACTCTCACAACTCTCATTCCCAATAAATTATATATATATATATATATATATATATAAATTACAAATATCTAATGTCTATCACATTATTAAATAAATAAATCAACAATTCTCATTCCTACAATCCACTCATGCATATTCATGACCACAATTCACTCAATCGCGTAAGTCTATTATTAATTTCCTATAATTTTCAAAATTTTAAAAGATTATGTGACATTTGATTTTGTTCATCTTCCAACCCACTCCCTTCTAGGGATGGCAATTTGAAACTGACCCGACAGAGACCCGATCCCCCGACCATTCATGACCACAATTCACTCAATCGCGTAAGTCTATTATTAATTTCCTATAATTTTCAAAATTTTAAAAGATTATGTGACATTTGATTTTGTTCATCTTCCAACCCACTCCCTTTTAGGGATGGCAATTTGAAACCGACCCGACGGGGACCCGATCCCCCGAGCCTGATTAGAGCGATTTTTTTTTTCCGAAAAATATCCCCAACGGGCCGAGGATGGTACTCAAAAATAAATCCCCGATGATTTTCGTGCCGAGGACGGTGATATGTTTTTCACCCCCGGTCCCGGCCCAGACCCTGACCCTGACCCTGACCCTGACCCTGATCCTGACCCTGACCCTTACCCCGACCCCGTTAGCCCCCCCGAATTAAACTTACTATATATACCCCTTAATATAACCTCTATGTTCTATTCTGTCGCGCGCACACACACACACACACACACACACTCTCTCTCTCTCTCTCTCTCTCTCTCTCTCTTCCCTCTCCTCTCTCTCACTCTCGCACCTCTCCTCTCTACCTCCTCATCGCAACCATCACTGTCCGTGACGCCGGAGTCGCTGTCCACCTCGCACCACCGCTTCACCTCCGTCGACTCCGTTGTTCGCTCCACCTCCATCGCTGCTCTCTCTTTTCTTGTCCGTTGAGTCATTGTAGTCGCAGTCACATAGAGATCTCAAATCTGTGTTGATCTCCTTCATCGTCGCCACCGATGAGCCGATCTCCGTCTATCTCCTCCGTTGTCCTCTCTCTCTCTGTGTGTGTACATGTATGTGTGTGTCTCTGTGTGTATGTTTAATGTATGTGTGTGTCTCTCTTTGTGTGAATGTACACATGTAAATATGTATGTATATGTGTGTGTCTCTCTTTGTGTATGATTTTTTAAGGATGTTGCTGATGATGTTGAAAGTTGTTGTTGATGGTGTTAAATGTTGAAACAGATTTGGATCGGGGAATTTTCAGGATCGGAGAAACTCGATCCCCGTTGGTGGCGGGGACGGGAACCGTGATAGGTTTCCCGTCGGGGATCGGGGCCGGGGACGAGGAGTGGGATCCCCAGCCCTGCCCTGCCCCGCCCCCGTTGCCATTCCTACTCCCTTCATCATTTCATCTATTTTTAATTAATTAATTTATTTATTTATTTTGTATGTTTATCTAACTTTT